GGCCGCCGGGCCGCGGCGCCCCGCGCCCCTCCCCCCGCGGCGCCGCCCTGCCCCGCGACGGGGCCACCCGCCCCAGGACGGGGCTACCCCCTTCCCCCCCAGGACGGGGCTTCCCTCCTCTCCTCTCACCGCCCTCCTCGTGGGGACCATAACGAACCTGGCCCAGGTGACAGGGAGGCCCCACGGGGCCCTGGCTCACTGCCACTGTGCCCCAAAGCCAAATCCCTCATGGCCGCCCGCGGGTCCCTCAGCGCCATGCCGCCATTTTGCCGCCTCGGCCACCACGGTCCCTGCCGCGCGGCCTTCCCCACAGGCCTCGCTCGCGCAGGGGGTTGTGCGGGTGGCGAGGCGGGCACCGCTGTGTCTCCAGATGCCCGTCCCGCCAGGCCACATCTCCATAGAGTTCCTCTGGGAAGGGGAACCACCTCGCCTGCGCTCCCCAAAGAGATGTGAAAGGCGTCATGAGCGTCATTTAAACCCTTGCCGCCAAGGTTTATGTTTTGTAGTCTTCAGCAGGCTCAAGAAATGACACAGCACTTCAGAAATCATCTGATAATAAAATACCCAAGTTGGAAATACACAGCTAATTCAAGTGATTCCTTCGAGCTTACTCCACGGCAGGAGGCGGGGAGAGAATTCCTCATAGCTCCAGGGACCTCAAAGCATTTCAAATCCAGGCACTGAACACATCCCTAAAATCTGTTTTGTTTTGTTCTCCTGAGCTTTTCTTGCATCCTCGTTACCTCTGCCCCACCATTTGCACCTGCTTTTATTCTACAGCATATATGTGTCAAGGAAATACCTCAGAATTAGGCCTGCTAAGTGTCTCAGGCATGGGTTTGCCAGGTGCGCTGCCAGCTCACACCAGAGCACTTGGATGCAGGGATACTCCAAACCATAATGCAGAGGTGGACATAGGATTGGGACAAAATCCAGGCCTGCAAGTAACACACCTCCTGTGCCTCATAGGAGCGGATCAGAAGATTGGATTGGAAGACTCAATCTGTCCAGAATGAAGACTACTGAAGTAGTGAAATATCCACTCGAGAGAAACAAGGCTTACAGGTGGAACAGGCTTCGGACTGTCCCACTTCTGACACCGCTGGTCCCCATTCTCGGCCTTTTCTCACACTGGTTCACATTGCAGCCTGGCCCTTCCAAGAGCTGTGACACTGGGAGTTCTTGGTTTCCATGAAGTTGACTGGAAACCAAAGAAGAGTAACAACCACTGAGGGTGGGAAGATGAATCTAAACATTTACCTGAGTCCACAGTAGGAAGTACAGCTGCAACCTACTAAAGGCTTTGGAGGTGGCCCATATAACCATTCCATTATGTATGGTTGTAGGTGGTCAGAGAGCTGTGCTGCCTTTCCAAAAGCAGTGCTTTCTTTCCAAAAAACACAGGCAGTGACATCTCCTACAGTCTCCTTGTAGACTAGGCACCTTGCAGACTACGCAATTGTAAAATCTTTGCCTTTGCTTCTGAAAAAAAAAATCTGAAAAAAAATCAAATCTTATCTACAGTTTCTAATAACTTTTAGTATCTTATTCCTTCTCAAGAGTCCTAATGATTCCATGTCAAATGTGTCTCAATTTCATCCAACACAAGATGGCCCAAACTAATTTAGAAAAAAAAATGCAAGGCGCTGTCCAGGCTGTGTCCTGACACAGGACAAGGGATTTGGCTGGGGAAAAAAAAATAACAGACACACTGCAAGAATTAGTCTGAGCCCAAAAGGAAAGAAAACCGAGACACTGTTTCAAATTGTAGCTGCGTCTCAAACCAATGCTTTGAGCTGCTCTTTCCATTCCTACCTGAGTGGTTTTCCTTAATTTATCATCACAAGATTGTTCTGGTCAATGTCCTGTCTGGCCTCTCTGCACTTAATTACACGTTTTCACTTTTGGAAACATTTATATTAAAGCTACTTAGGTAGGGAAGAAGCACCCATGGCTAGAGACCACTGTGGGATTTTATGGAAATTGTCCTTGTGCAGTCCGGCGGTGTACCCGTTCCTACAGTCTCCTTCCACCTTTTATTTTAGCTTTCATGAGCAATGGACAATACCATTTCCACCTCCTAAAGTCCATTATCACCCCTGGGAAGCAGGCCTATGCAAGAGAGGCAATAAATAAAGCATTTTTATACCTATTCTAGTCTTCTGCTTTGTGCACAGCTTGCTTGACCGAGACTCAACATTTATTGGGCACATGACAGAACAAAAGAAAGGTGCCATTTCCCAAAGCATCTTAAATCCTATTTATAGAAATGATGCAACAACCAGAGAGCAACTGCTGTGAGGAAAGGCGTCACAAGGCTGATGTTGCTCGACGGTCTCGTTTTCCTGCACCCTCCCACTTCTTCCACGTCCCGTTTCAGAGGTCTTCATGCTGCAGGGCCAGGAGGATTCCCTTGGGAGCAGCTTGGAGGCGGCAGGATGAAGGTGGCCGAGGGCTGCTGGAGCAGCGTCAGCACCGATGGCAGCAACGGCATCCATGCGACCGTGTGTTAAGTCCAGCACTGCAAAGAGAACAAGCCTGATTCAAACGAGACATGAAAATAAGCTTGATTTTATGAAGACATATGGGGTTTCATTGCAGAAATTATAAATGCTCCCCCCCCCCAAAAAAAAAAAGGCTAAAATCTGTTTCAGCTACACCACCCTCATCTACCTTGCTGCCAGTTTCAGCTTCCCAATCACAGCGCAGGCTTTCTACAAACCTCACTTTTTGATGGGTTTTTCTTTCTACATAGCAACAGGGGAAACTGGCATTGCCCAGCAGATCCAGCTGAGCCAACAATAAACAGAGCGATCAGAAATGCACAGGCGAGAGGCTGGAGAGCGGTGCTGGAGCAGGCGGCGGGGGAGAAGCCACACTGCGAGCCACAAAGGAGCGAGTCCCGCGAGGTCCGGCTGCGGCGCAGCGGGGCAAAGGCAAAGCTCTTTGTCTCCCTGAGCTCCTCCTCTTTAAGGCGCACAGTCCAAGAGAAGTGAATGGGGAAGCGTCACGGGGAGAATTCCAGAGAAATTCCATCTCTGGGAAAAAAAAAAAATCCACGTACCATTTCATAAATGTTCCTGCATGTGGATTTTATTTTTGTACCATAGATTTAGAAGGAAGAAATACAATGGCCTTGCAGAACTTGGGCTTCATTTTCCACCTTCTTTTGAAGAAACCTGCATAGAGAACATGGGTCTTCAGCAGATGCATCCCTTTTGACAGGGAGATCTTAAGGCATAAAGATGTTTTAGATATTAACGTAACTGCAAGCAGAGGGGATGTGCTACTTCCCATCAGCAAGAATAACACCACAAAAAAACAACTCTGCTTCATTCAGAAATGAGTATTACTTAGCCAGTAATTCAATGCAAGAGTAGAAAGAGAAAAGATCAAAGGGAATCAAGAAAAACACACGCAGCACAGTGTGAATATGATTATTCCAGCACTGATATCCTCAAGTCGTCAGGCTACCACTCTGTACGAGTAGGTAGACTTGACCATACAGGGAAACACACCCCCAAATTCTCTCTAGATATGGAAGTCCTACCCAGATTAGAGGATGAGCTTTCTTACAACTGGTGTGCTAGGCTCCCAAGCAGGAGGGTTTCTGCAGATTCCAGTTCTTTGGCCCATTTCTCCCGATGGACTGGCCTGAAGGCGCCGCTTCCTGCTCCCAGCAGGGCCAGGGTCACCACACGCTCTCTCCAAAGACAACTGCCAGCTTCATTTTCCCTGCAAAAGATGGGAATAACTTTTCATAAATGGCAACTCAGCAGCAGGGTGTCGTGGCGTTTGTCTTATGAGGACAGTGACAGATTGAAGCTATCTGGAGCAGTGAATTCTCGGCGAGCTTGCCTGGGAAGCACTGAGCTCCAGGGCTGGCGTCTCGGCGCCGTGAGCTCCATGAGGCAGCTCACAAGGCAGCGCCGCGAGCGGCTTTTCCTCCTGACTCCGTGAACACGGTGCACGAGGAAGGGACTTCTCCACCTGCCGACACCGCTCCCGGAGCTACCACGATCCCTCTAACGCTTCAGCATCGCCCTTCTCCGGCCTGCAGGGACCAAGCGGAGCGGTCAAGTGTGGGGAACAAGCGGTTGGCGCTGCTGGGGAGCTGCCTGGGAGCTCCGGCTCCGCGAGCGCCACCGGCAGCGACCCAGAGCCGCATTATTTGCCAGCGTTTGAAGCGTGTGGAGCACTAACAGGAGCCGCTTGGTTCAAGGCGAGGGAACAAAGCGGGGCACGAGCGCGGTCGCGGCAGCACGGGGGAGCTGCGGAGCCCCGGGCGGCGAGGCCGGGCCACGCCCGCCGCCATGGCGGGGCCTCGCGCCGCTTCCGG